CACACACACACACACACACACACACACACACACACTCCTTTCTGTTGTCTAATTAGACCGTTCGGCCCGCTGGCCTGTTTTGCTATGCTAATTCCCAGCATCATGAAACACAACAGAATCAAAACATGACCTGTTTAAAAATAATAATTACTGTTTTCATTCCTCCACAGCTGCATCTCCCTTTGATAAAAAAATACAGTTAAATAAATATCCACGATGAGATTGTGTTAACTGTGTCACGTTTGCTGTTGTTTTGGTCGTTTAGTTTTTTATATACGGTAATTTTCCTTCTTTTCCTGTCTTTGTTTAGTGTCCTACATAAAGTGCAAGCTTTTTTTTGTTCCCAGTTCAAGTCAATTGTTTAACTGTCTGTTCTGTTGACCACTTAGCATCAGCCGCTGGATAAACAGCAACAAAAAGAAACCAGAAATGTTTTTAAACGTTTTGAAAGATTTCAGTGTTGTGATGTTTGATCTGTATAGAAAGTGTAAAAAAAATCTAAAGAAATGTTAAAGCTGCTGCTAGTGGCTCATTGGGATCACCGTTATAACCATCTATGTCTGTCACTCCCTCCAACCCACTATTAAAAAGATAGAAGGACATACCGTATTTATTCATTATAATACGATCTCATGTATAATACGACCCCCCCCCTGAGCTTAAAAAGCATAAAAAATTTAATTCTCAAACTACCTCCAATTTCAAACAGACTTCAAGATTTTTCAGCCTTTGCAGTCTTTATACATATAAGTAAAATGATCATTGGACTGTTCATTTTATTTTAACAACATATGTACTAAAAGGTATTTTGACAACAAATATACGTATATCAGCTGTAGCAGCATCAAATGAATTCTGGCATTTTACACATAGTCCACCAGGATGTGCCAACACAAAAGTCAGAGACTTCACATGAGATTTGGGCCATCTTGTGGGGGAAAAGCAGATTACTTCCTACTCGCGAGCGCCCCCTCTGTTGGGGAAATGTTTTTTCAGGGATACAAACTTTTTTAGAACACCGGTAGACAGCAGCCACTACAGACGAACATGTGTTTGCTGTTGTTCGAGGAGCAGCCCGGTTACACGCTAATGTCATTAGTTGGCTACCATTACTAAGGTGCAGGACTGCTTCCCCCACTTTTCACATCATATCGCCTGCCTGGATCTGTTACTATCTCGCTCTGAAGCACGGAGGGGTGTCAGAGGTAAGGTCGTTTCAACTGCTTTTTACGACGCAGTCTCATTTCCGGACTCAATAATTTTGTGAATGAAGCCAATATTTCAGTTAAAATACATAAGTAAAAATATTTATCTGAGTATAGTACTACCCTCCAACTTTATATATGATTTTATGGATTTAATTTTACGTATTATACTTGAATAAATACGGTAAATGCAGAGCAAAAAGTAAGCCTCATAAAAATGCTTTGCAAAAACTTATATTTACGTATATATTATATTCTGGTCACATTACACATTTACACTGTTTTACATTAACATATCACAAAATAAAAAGGTACACTCTAAACATGTCACAAGTCAAGAGACAAACAACCAGCCACACTCCCACTCAGACCTAGAAACATTTTAGTTACCAACTAACCTAAAGGCTGCTACATTCTTCTTGAGTCTTACGACTTTTATTCTTTCTCACGTGGTTGTAGGATGTTCTTATTTAAATAGGTATTTGATGCTTAAACTGTAGCTCAGAACTCCAGGTAAGCCTTCCCACTGTAGCAGACTTCATGTGCAAATAGAAACAACACAGCAAGAGCATGGTTGGAAGTTTATTTTCATTTGGTGACAGAGGGGTTGAAAGGAGGAGGAGGAAGATCTGGTATTTCTGTTGTTAACCAAAGAAATTATTATTTTCTTCCACAAGTTCGTTAACTATCTTTACAAGATTTATTGAAGTATCTGCACAGTTTGATGGAACAGTTGGAAAGACAGCTGGATTTTCTAACAGCCTTGGCCAGCTGTAGGTATCCTGCTTTTTTTTACAAAGGCATGCAGACAAAGTTCTGACTAATCATGGTATACTTGGACGCAAAAAAAAGTTCTGTTAAGAGCTTGTGAACATAAGTTTTTTGAGAGCCTCCAAAATAATGTTCAAAACTCAACTGAGACAAACTCCACTAAAAAGTCTCAAGTCAAAAGGTGATCCTTTAACACACTTCCTAAGAGTAAACAGCAGTAACCACTGCATGCTGCCTTAAGAATAGTTTGTTGTCAAAATCTTTTCTGATTTAACAGCTCAATGGTTAGACACACTTTAGGTTAAAATAATAAAATTCAAACTGTAATTGTATCAAAACTAATTGTACAAAATGCCAGTTCAATCACATAAAGTCTAAATTTCTGAATTGTTTAAACTCTG